GGCGGGGGGGGGGGGGGCGGCCAGCAGATGGGACGTGTCCCAACCCCGGCTCCTCCGGCAGCTCCAGATCAAACACGCAGTCACCGAGGCTGAGATCCAGCAGCTGAAGAGGAAGGTGAGTGCTGGGAGGGACCTCCTGGGAGAGACCCCCTGGGAGGGACCCCCCCCTCTGCTTGCTGGCTCCCCCCGTGGCTCCCCCAACCCTTCCCAGCTCCCCCCAGGCACCCGCAAGGGGCTGTGCTGTGTCCTGCTGTGTCACCCCTGCTCCCTGGCAATGCCACGTCACGCCGTGTCACATCATGTCATGCCATGCCATATCACACCATGCCTGCTCCCTGGCTGTGCCATGCCATGCTATATCTCACCATGTCACATCATGTCATGTCATGTCACATCATGTCATGCCATGCCATGCCACATCACACCGTGCCTGCCCCCTGCCTGTGCCATGCCATGCTGTATCTCACCATGTCACATCATGTCATGCCATGTCATGCCATGCCATGCCATGCCACATCACACCATGCCTGCTCCCTGGCTGTGCCATGCCATGCTATATCTCACCATGTCATGTCATGTCACATCATGTCATGCCATGCCATGCCACATCACACTGTGCCTGCTCCCTGGCTGTGCCATGCCATGCTGTGTCTCACCATGTCTCACTATGTCACACCATGTCATGCCATGTCACACCTGCCCCCTGGCTGTGCCCTGTCCCCTGTCCCCAGCTGCAGTCCCTGGAGCAGGAGAAGGCTCGCTGGCGGGCAGAGAAGGCCCAGCTGGAGCAGAGTGTGGAGGAGAACAAGGAGCGGATGGAGAAGCTGGAAGGCTACTGGATGGAGGCCCAGAACCTCTGCCAGGCTGTGGACGAGCACCTCAAGGAGACACAAGCCCAGTACCAGACCCTGGAGCGCAAGTACAGCAAGGCCAAGAGGCTCATCAAGGAGTACCAGCAAAAGTGAGGGCAGCACCGGGCCCTGGGCACCCCTTGCACCCCCCTGGGCATCCACCCATCCCTAGGGAACCCATCCCTTCCTGGGCACTCCGTGTGTGTGGCCACAGAGCATCCATTGGGCAGGAATCATCCCCTGGGTGTGGAGCCACCCATAGGACACTGACCCCTTCCTGGGCACCCTTTGGGCATGGACCATCCCCTGGGCAGAAATCCAGCCTTGGGGAACCAGCTTCTCCCTGGGCATCCCTGGGGAAGGGACCTTCCCCTTGGCACGGACCCATCCCTGGGGCACCAGATCCTTCTGGGGCATCCCACATTCCTGGGTAAGGACCATCCATGGGCATAGACCATCCCCTGGCCATGGACCACCCCTTGGGCAGAGACCTCCCCCTTGATGTGGCCCCACCTCTGGGGCACCAGATCCTGGATATCCCTCCCCCCCATCCCTCACCGGGATCCCATCTCCTGCGGGATCCCAGGCACCCCTGACCACGATCCCTCCCGTATCCTGCCTTCCCTCTTGCCCAGCCCCACCTCCTGGGTGGTCTCCTGGGGGTGGGAGGGGGGGGACACCCCACACACACAAGCCCCCCCCAACCCTGCTCCCCACAGGGAGATCGAGTTCCTGAAGAAGGAGACGGCGCAGCGGCGGGGGCTGGAGGAGTCGGAGCTGGCGCACCAGGAGGAGATGGAGAAGCTGCAGGAGAAGGTGGGCACTGGGTGCCGGGACTGAGCCCACCCCCCCCTGCTCCACCACCACGTCGCTCCCGTCGCCTCTGGATCCCGGGATGGATCCTGGGATGGATCCCAGCTGAGCTGCTCCTCCTGGATCCCAGCGCCGGGCGAGCACTGGGTCCCCTCTGGATTGAGCTCCTGGATGGATCCCACCACCCCGGGGGCTGGAGGAGCAATGTGTGTGTGTGGGGGGGGCACTGGATTCCCTCTGGATGGC